CAAATCCCTGATTCTTAATTTTTTTTCACTTTTGTATCCTATAGAGCAGTGTTTCTCAACCTTGGCAACTTTAAGATGTGTGGACTTCAATTCCCAGAATCCCCAGCTAGCAAAGCAAAGCTGGCTGGGGAAATATGGAAGTTGAACTCCACACATCTTAAAGTTGCCAAGGTTGAGAAACACTGATATAGAGGATACAAAAGTGAAAAAAAATTAAGAATCAGGGATTTGGAGAACTACAACTGTTAAGACAAAAGGAACATTAACATTCCAGTTTTAAATTTGACATTTTTCAAGGCAAGTAGGCATACTCTCAAACAATGCACTGGTTACAGCCACCCTCTATCTTTATTTATTCAGAAAGCCTAGAAATGTATTATGGGGACCATTAGTATAGAGTGGGCAAGCCATACACTCCTTTGTGGTCCCCAGAGTTCCTGGATTTGTCAGGTTCAACTTTTCCAGTATGTTCTTTTTGCATTTTCAGAGGATTGCAGGATTTAAGGATTTAATCTGAAAACAGCAATTTCATTCCTTTTAGAAACTGGAACCCCCTCCCTGCCAAATGTGCCAATTTTACCCAAGTCCACAGTGAAATGATAGCACTAGCTTCACCACTCCTTTATGGTCTTTTGGCAAGTGAGGCCTCCAAGGGAGGCATCTGTGGCCATGCAGATCCATTGGTTACCCATGCTTAAAGAAAACATACAAATCTAATGAGGGAGCCTATTTCTATAAGCAAAAGTGGAGCCCCAAAATAATAAAGCATACCAGACCATTGGCCAAGCATTAATGCTAGTAGTAAAGCAGAAAAGTAAGTTAAGCATGTATGCAAGTTTAGTCGGAACAATAAACTCTCCTTGTTTTTGATTTTACAAATTCCAGCTTCTTAAATGTATGTAATACGTTCCAAAGTAAGACTCTTCCCACTGGGTTTCTAACACTGTTAAGAAGAATCTTGTTCTTGAGACACAGTTGAGAATGCCTTCTTCTCCATGCATCTATCTAATTTCTCTACCCACAAAAGACCATTTCTGCATCATCCTTAAAGAACGGTCTCTGATGGTTATGCAAACCACATGAAGATCTGATTGCCTAATGTAAAGATAATGGATATTATGCTGTCTAGATTGGGCAGGGAAGCAGCGAGCAATTGGTGCACAATGCCATGGCACACAATTGGTAGCAAACTAGTTGCCAGTGATACTACCAGAGCTCCTGCAATCACACCCAACAAGGTTCATTTCTTTAAAAGTTCAAATGGGGGCCTGGGGTCCCAGCTGATTTCTTTTCCAGAGAGGGGCCCTCTGGACTATAAGTCCCTAGATTTCAGAGCAATGGTGTGGTGCTAACACTATGGATAATAATGGTGGGAAAGTATTATGGGTCACATGTCATAAAGATGGGCTTTTCGATGGCACCCAGTTAGCTTCTATGAGAAACAGGAGTCTCATCTAAAAAAGCCTTTTGGTATAATCCAGAAGGGCTCTTTATATTCTTACATAATGCTCAAAGACTATTTTAAGCAGCTCTCTCTTTATCTCATTAATGGCCTCCAGACTGAGTCATCTGTGTCTGGGGCTTGTTCTGCAGAAAGGAAATATTGCTATTACTAATCAACATCTTCCAGGAAAAATATTTTTTGAGACATGTGCCCACTCCTGGATGAAATCAGATTTTTCCTTTAACTGAAGCTTCAGGAAAAGATTGAAAATTAGAGGGAAAGGTTAAAGAACATTCTAGAAATAGGGAACCTAGGCATGTCATTGTGCAGGACAACCACTTGAGCTAAAAAATTAACTCTCTTATTTTTCTTGTCCAGACTAGACTACAACGAGAGAGAGGGAGAGGGAGACGGAGGGAGGGAAATTTAATCCCCTCTTACCCCTATAGGTGGTATGTGTCTTCTTCAATCTCGGGTCCTCTACCAGAGGCCTGGGAGTTTAGGGTTCTGCGCAGTATCTCAGCCGTTCCTAGCACTGCACTCTTCTGGACAGAGAGCTGTGATGTTGTTCCTGGGATCTGTTGGAGCCATTCTCCCAGTTTAGGAGTCACAGCCCTGAGTGCTCCT